TTTCACTTATTCGCCCACGTATACAAGGTCACAGCAACTCCTCCTCCTAAATCTGCTCTGACCCCTTCTTCCCCTTCATCTCCTCCTCTTCCTCATCGGAGGTATCTCCCCAAAACCAAAAGAAACAATGGGCAAAGGTGGGTCTTTGAGCAACAGCGTCATCAAGAAGGTCCTTCTCTCTTACACCTATGTTGCAATCTGGATCTTCCTCAGCTTCACCGTCATCGTCTACAACAAGTATATCCTAGACAAGAAAATGTACAATTGGCCTTTCCCTATATCTCTAACCATGATCCACATGTCCTTTTGTTCCACTCTCGCTATCCTCCTCATCAAAGTCTTCAAAGTTGTCGAACCTGTTTCCATGTCTCGAGAGCTTTATCTGTCTTCCGTTGTCCCAATCGGTGCTCTTTACTCTCTCAGCCTCTGGCTCTCCAATTCCGCTTACATTTACTTGTCTGTTTCCTTTATTCAGATGCTTAAAGCCCTGATGCCTGTAGCTGTTTATTCCATTGGGGTTCTTTTTAAAAAGGAGGGCTTTAAGACTGATACAATGGTCAACATGTTGTCGATCTCTTTCGGGGTCGCCATAGCTGCTTATGGGGAAGCTAGATTTGATACCTGGGGAGTGATGTTGCAGTTGGGAGCCGTTGCTTTTGAGGCTACCAGGTTGGTTATGATCCAAATCTTGCTTACTTCTAAAGGGATCACCTTGAATCCAATTACCTCTCTGTATTATGTTGCGCCATGCTGTTTTGTTTTCTTGTTGGTGCCATGGATTTTTGTGGAGTTCCCAGTTTTGAAAGAGACATCAAGTTTCCATTTCGATTTCGTCATTTTTGGGACCAATTCTTTCTGTGCTTTTGCTCTGAATCTAGCTGTCTTCTTACTTGTTGGAAAGACATCTGCTTTGACCATGAATGTAGCCGGGATTGTCAAGGACTGGTTGTTGATTGCCTTCTCTTGGTCTGTTATTAAAGATACCGTGACACCCATCAACTTGTTTGGGTATGCGCTGGCGTTTTTGGGTGTTGCTTACTATAATCATTCCAAGTTACAGGCTTTGAAGGCAAAAGAAGCACAGAAGAAGGCCGCACAGGCTGATGAGGAATCCGGGAGGTTGTTGGAGGAGAGGGAAGGTGAGGGAACTGGCAAGAGGAGTGAATCCCAGAATTAGATCAGATCGGCTGTTTCTTTTAGGATATGAAATTTGGAAAGAGAGGTTGCAAAAAGGGCTCAAGGGAGACAGGTTTGGATGATGATCAAAAGGGTTAACATTTAAAGGCAAAAGGAAATGATGGGATCAGATGTCTTTTGCTCTTTTGGCTGCATTTGGGTTTTGGTATGTTGTTTTAGGTCTCCGTTCCATAAGCTAGTTATTATGGTCTCTTTTTAGTAATATCAGGAGGTTGGGATTCACATTTGTTGCTTATTGCAACGATTAGTGTATGTTAGTAGAGGAAGAAGAATCTCAAATGCCCTGTATTTTGTTTGTTGTTTTATATTTTATTATTGTCTCTTCTTTTTGGGATGTTGACAAATGTTTCTATAGGTACTCCTTCCATTCATGGAGTTTTAATGCTTATTTATTCATGTGTTTCTTTCCTATCATCTGGTTTCTTTATTTTGCATATGGCAATGTGATTTTGGCATATTTGTCTTACCGCTGGATTCATATGATGCTTTGAGTCTGATTGCAGGCTCTCTTTCTGATTTGTTTTTCCTTTTTTGAACTTTAGGAGGTAGAACTGAAGTCTGGTGAGAGTTAGTTATGTAATGATTCTGAAGCACAAATGAGGGAGTAGGTGAAAATTTTGTTAGTTTTTGTGTACATTAGTATTATTACGTGCCTAAGTCATTTGTACCAATGTTTTAAAAGTATGATATCCATCGGACCTAGAGGTGCGATAGAAGTTTGATTGATGCTGAGGTTGTTAATTTGACAATAGATTTATGGATTTCAAGTGTATCCCGATAGTAGCTTGACTACTGATTCCTACATGCTAGCGAGGGTCGGCTTGGTTCTACTATAACAACTAGATTACCTTGAAATCAATCCAAAGATGTGAAATGCTCAAATCAATATTGCAATTGCTTAGTTTCTAATATAGTACCTCTTGTGCCAAAAAAGAGAAAAGGCCAGGTCAACAGCTTTGTTGATCTAGTTGTGCTAAACTGTGTTGGGTCTAGCTAAAGATGAATGTATATGATTCATTTTTTATCACTTAGCCAGTTCTACTTTGAATGATTTGCTACTTGTATACCTTATGGCTTATGGTATGTTTGGTTTCACAGTTCTTAGAATTTGATCCTTGTGTGAAGAATTTAAGTTAGGTTATTCACAGAAGATTTCAGTTGACAGTTTCAAATGTCAAGGAATGAAAAATCAAACATGGTTTCATTGGATATTGGAATTTTAGATGCTATCGTCAACTTGATGTTAAAGCAGTTAAAGCAGTTAAAAGGCAACAAAAGGTCTTGACATAGAAATTATGATGATGGGTGTTATAGTCTTTGCCCTTACTGCCTCTATATTATCTTTTTCTTAAATCATTTTGAAGTTGAAATCTATTGTGTTGAAAATTTTGGAACAGATATTTGTTAAAGCAGTTCAGTCCAAGGTTTTTTCCCCTTTTATCTTTTGGGGATCTATTATAGTATTTGCCACAGTATATGGTCATGTGGTTGCCAGGATAATCTATTGTATTTCTCTCCTCACAACAATAAAGCTTGTGTACTCACATCAGAAAATGCTGGTCATGGAGGAAATACAATCTTAGATTCAAAACGGCAAAAAAGGGCATTAGATACTCAAAAGGTTCTTCCTTCTTTCCCTGAAGTTGGGCACTAGCGGTTAGATCTTAGATTTGGGCAGTTAAAGTGGGCTTCTTAGATCAGAATTGATCCCAAACTAAATAATTTTTCCAGTTCCCGACTTGGTGCTGCACTTGCCAAGTGCTCAGGGTTGTCGGTGACGCATTAGCTTTGTTGCTGGTGAATATGAGAACGAATTTACCCAGTGCAGAAACTAGTTATGCTATATGTCATATTCCGAATTAAACATGTCCTTCGGTTGGTTCATTTTCCACTCCGTTACTAGTGGAGAATCATGGTCAATCAAATACGACAACACATTTAAAGGAAGAGGACTCCAAGGAACTCCTAGTATTTGTTTGAACAGGATGCATGGGATTCTTTTTCCCCAAAGAGAATAAAAGAGTTGGCAATCTAGGAGATGCCGAGTTGCGTGTGATTTCAAACATGATTGCAGTGTCTCTGCTGGTTTGGAAAAGTCTGAACTTATGTCACCTACAGCACTGACCATGCTAGCGACAAATAGCGGTTAACAAGTCACCAAAGTTTGGCTCAAGTGGTAAGAGAGAGGGCAGGTTTGGATAAAGATTTTAAGTTCACTTTGCATAATATATTGGAAAGTAGGACAAAATTGGCCACACGCATAGGCTTATTTTCAATTAGTTGTCAGGCAATGATCTCTCGGAGCTTGAGTTCACCATGTGTACTGCAAGCATTTATCAGGGTTCACCAAACAATGGACTTTGGCTCAATAGGCATTTTTTGAACAAACTCCACTGCCTCTCTAACAAGTCCAGCCTTACATGACGTATCTGCCATGCATCCATAATGCTCAATTTTGGGCAAAATACCAAACTCCTTCCTCATCAGATCAAAATAGTCCTTTCCTTTCTCAACTGATCCAGAATGACTATAAGCAGAGAGCAATCCAATAAAGAAAACATCTGGCGCCACTGCATCTCTTATTATCCCATGAAACAAAGAAACAGCCTGCAATCCACGGCCATGCATTGCTAAACCAACAATGACAGAAGTTCAAGAAACAATGCTTCTCTCACGCATGGTCCTAAAAATTTCAAAGCTTTATCAACATCAACACACTTTGCAAACATATCAAGAAGCGCACTATTAAGCTCCACAGATTTATTCACTCTTTGCTTCTCAATAAGAGACTCAACCCACCTCCCAAGTTCAAGTGCACCTAAATCAGTACAAGCACACAAAACAGCGACCATTGTGATCTCATCAGGGCAAACCCCTTCCATCTGCATCTGTCTAATCAAGTCAACAGCATCCTTTGACCACCCCAAACGAACATACCCACCAATCATAGCGCTCCATGGAACAGGGTCTTTCTTCGTCATCTCATCAAACGCTTTCCGACCAAACTCAATCCCTTCTTTGCAAGTACAATACATGTGGACCAATGTGTTTAAAACATGATTATTCCCATCAAAACCAAATTTTAACAGCGACCCATGTACGGACATGCCGAAATTCAAGCCCCAGTGCCAGCACATGCCTTTAAAACAAACGGGTACGTGAAATTATTAGGCAAAACTTTACATTCAAGCATGAAATTGAAAACCCATAAAGCTTTGGCCTTTAAACTCCCACTTTGAGCATAAGCTTTGATGATAGTATTAAAAAGGAAAGCATCGTAAAGATGGGTGTTTGAGTAGGGTGAAAAGAGGAAGCAATGAGAGAAGTTAATGGAGTTGAGTTTAGAGGATTTGGATGCAAATTTGGTGAGAATTAAAGGGTTGTTTTCAAAACCCAATTTGAGAATTTGGGTTTGGATTTGAAGGAGGTTTGACAAGCTGTTGCAAGATTGGAGGAGAGTGAGGAAGCCGCGTTCCGCCGCAGCTCTTTGGTAGCTGCTGGTGGTGGTGGTGGTGGTGGTGGTGGCGGGGGCTGATGTTGTGATTGTACGGAGTAGGATTGAAAGCTTGCTTTTTGGGGTTAAAGATTGCATAGCAAATTCATTGCTAGTTTTTGCAAGTTCATCAAAATTCAATCTTTAGTTTAGGAAGTAACAAGTACAATTGTTAGGTTTTCAATTGCAAAACAAATTAGTATCTTTCTTATTCTTTCAAAAACTAATAATAATAATAATAATATAAGAGGAAAAGTCAGAGTTCCTTTTTGATTCAATAATTTGAAATAAAAAAGAAATAATCCAACAGTGATCTATCAGTCCACGTCAGTATTGCTTTTGATCCCACGTGGCCAGCAGATCCACTGCCACGTCACTTTTCCCGTTCTTCCCTCTCTGTTCAACCATAGAAAGAGAATTTCTCTCATCTTCCTACCAATTGGAAATGCAAGAACAACGATCAGGAAAAAAAAAAAGGGAAAAATGAGAAATTTTTATTCAATTTCTTCACTGAATCACAGGTTTGTTCCACGAAGGGTTTCAAATAAGTATCTCATCAATGCAATCCGTCCATATTCAAAGGAAGTTTCTTCCCCAAAACCTCCAGGTTCTTATGCTTGATTTTATTTTTATTTTTATATTTATGTTATTATCTATTTCGTGCTATATCTGGTTAATAATAACTTGAACCGGGTATTTCCCAAAATTGAATCTTTCTGTTAACATAGCTACAAAGTTAGGATTTTGAAGTGAATAGCGCCTTTGTTGGGAATCAATATGATGGTCTAGTTTGTTTGTTTCCTGGGAAAATGAGATGGTAAAAACATGTAAAAAAGGGTTTAACCTTCTTTGGTTTCCTTTTTCATGAAAAGGTTGGAACTTGTGGGGAAGTTTTGATTTTTGGCTCTTACATCAGAAACGTTTATCTTTATAGGTCTGGATAAACAAAGCCACCTAATGCTTAATTAACCTTCATTTAATGCTTAGTATAAGGTGTTGGTTCCTTGGTTTTTTAGGGCTTCTATTGCATTACCGCAACTTGGTGGAGCAAGGGAGGCTGCAGCATGATCCTTTCCAAGAAAAGGTTGCTTTGGCTTTGGAAAATTTGATTGGGAGGTTGGAACAGTATGAAAAAGATATGGTGGAATATCATGTATATTTTGAACTCTAATTTTGTAATGTAACATATCTCTTTGTTTTTGATTCAATGATCACAACATTTTGTTTGTATAATCTGGATTTTGAACTTTGCTATTGTAGATTAAGCTAGCTGAGTGGGAGAAACACAGGGAGAATGAGCACCGGAGGCTTTTGACGGAAGAAGCTGAGCTCAAGCAGTGCGGGGACCTTTGGACATCAGTTAGTAAGCGCAGGAGTAGACTGTTAGAAAGATGGGTATTCCGGTGAGGCATGCTAGTTCCTTTTTTTTTTTTCAAAAACTACATTTGAATCATTTGGATGGAAATTAAAATCTGTTCACTTTTTGGTTCTTTTGATATTAATGAAGTTTCATTTGAGTCAGGAGAAAATCTGAAGATATAGAACCTGGAGTGGGTAAGTGGGTTTCATACCTCAATCGTGAGAAGAAGTTGGATTCACTTGTTGGTCGTCGTCCTACTGCTCCTTCAGCCCCAAAAGGACTATACATATACGGGAACGTTGGAATTGGTATGTTACCAAATTTCATCAAAAAAATAAATGTGAGGTTTTGTGAACCAATAACCAAACCAGCAAAAATTGGAAATTTGGTTTCTCATATTATTGGGTTTCATCCCCTGTATATCCTTTCCATAATTCTTCCAGAGTGAACAGACTGATGGAACAAATTTATTAACTTAAGATCATTTTCTGTAGGGAAGACAATGCTTATGGATATGTTTTATAGTGCTACCGATGGAATAGTTAAGCATAGACAAAGGTTCCATTTTCATGAGGTAAACTCTTAGAGGTGAGCCTAGCCTTGTGTTTTTCTTATTTCTCGAGTATTCTCATGACTGAATCTGTGATAATCCTACGTTTATAAAAGAAAGTTATCTCAGTGTGGCCAATCACAAAAGGGAGCATTAGTATTACCTATCTTTCTAATTATCCCAATCCTCTCTGCCCAAAGAATAGGCTCTTCTTGTGCAATGTGTTATGTCATAAGTTGTTATGGTCACTAGATTCTCAATATAAACATGTGTTAATAGGGGATAATTGTGAGTAGTTTTTACTCTTTTTCTTTAAAAAAACATGGAAGTTGCAATTGCTTTAAACATTGGCAGGCGATGCTTAAAATAAATGAAGCTATGCATAAGTTGTGGAAAAATCAAGTTGAGGAAAAGTCTTTGCAATCAAGTGTATCTTCTTGGATTATGAATCTTCCCTTTGATATGAAAGCGAAGGAGTGGTTAGCTGCTGAAGAAAGATATAAACAAGAGGTTCAGATGAAAAACATTCTTCCTGCTGTAGCAGATAAATTTCTTGTTGACAGGCAAGCAGGCGAAAGAGGAGCTAGCATTCTTTGCTTTGATGAGATACAGGTAGTGTGTTGCATTGACATTCAAAGAAAAAATTGAGAAGTTTTGATGCTGGTTGGCATGATCATTAGTTAAATCCTTGGTGATCACAGTTTGACAGTTTCTTTTTAAATTATTCAATAGAAAAAGAGAAGAAATTGACAGTTTTGGTATCTGACTAGAGAATAGGAATTCCTGTTCCCAAACTTTATAGCTATAATCTCATAGTTTCCCACAGTGGGAAAATAAAACGATGGCTATTTTCTTATTGCTTACAGCAATGACTCTAAATTCCTGTTCTAATGGAGCATTAATGACTGTTCTTCACCATATGCTACAGAATGCTGCTTGAGTAAAGAAACAGTTTTCTGAATGAGCAACTCATGTTATGACTTGAACTGTCTTGCTTTCTATTACAGACTGTTGATGTATTTGCTATTGTGGCCTTATCTGGAATTCTAAGCAGATTACTTACTACTGGAACTGTTCTTGTTGCCACCAGTAATCGAGCACCAAAGGATTTAAATCAGGTGTTTTCAGAAACTTCAATTCCTTCCAATCAATTGTGGTGTATGAATTCAGTTATTCCCGGTTAACAATTGATGAGGCTTTTCTCTACTTCCTTTTTTCTCTTTATATTTTGCTCATGCAGGATGGTATGCAGCGAGAGATCTTCCTAAACTTTGTAGACAAGTTGGAAGAGCACTGTGAGATAATTTTGATTGGAAGTGAGATTGATTATCGCCGACTAATAGCACAGAGGTCTATAGATAAGGTGACATTTCATGCTTCTCTATGTGGATACTGATATGTTTTTTCCTTTCTTTCCTTGACATAGACAATGTTTTTCTTCCTTATCCCTAATTATAGATGATCATTCTCTTTTCCTACTTTAAGAAAACCATAAAATATATTCGGTGGTTGAAACCAGAATTTGTACATGCAGGTTCATTATTTTTGGCCTCTAGATGGCACTGCTTTAAAGGAATTCGAGAAAATATGGTGTCAGGTTATAAACGAGGTTGGGGGAAAAGTCACATGCAATACTGTTCCAGTGATGTTTGGAAGGTACTTGTTAATCTAAGGGCACTGGTTTGTTAGATCTATCCATTTTTAACCTTTGTATTTTGCTTTACTTCAGGACATTGGAGGTTCCTGAGAGCTGTAATGGAGTAGCACGATTTACATTTGAGCATCTATGTGGTCGGCCGGTATTATACTTATTCTTCCTGTTTTTCTCTCTTCTTTTCTAGGGGAAATAGCAGCAAATTTTTTTTAATCAGAGACGTATATTTCTATCCATAATTTGTTAATTAATTCAATTGATTTTTCTGGAAATGTGCTCTAAAATCTTCTTGAAAGACTTGTTAATCGTGTATCACTTTTTCAACTTATTCACTGTTGACTAATCTGACAACACAATGCTGAGCATTGTAGAACATGATATGTAAAAGAAAAGGAAGAGATAAGAAAAATAAAATTTAGGTCAGAATATGACAAGAATAACTGTACTAGTGAGATTTATCTGTGTATATCACAAAGATGGAAAAATATATGTGGTCTAAGCTCCACAGCATTGGAAAGCAGCCAAAAGAGGTTCCCTAGAAAATGAGACACAAAATATGCTTGGTTGAACAAAAGGGAGTTGTCTTTTCATCACAATTCCTGTTAGTGGAAACCTTACCCAACAAGTGGATAAACAATGCTTTCCAAGCTATTTGCCTGAGTTGTTTTAGGCTTTTAGCTCTGAATAGCTTATGTCCCTCTTCTTGTATCAACAATATAAGGTTTCAAGTTTTTATAAATTTGGCAACATAAACATCTATAAAACCTTAACTTCTTTATAATTGGTTCTTTTCTGCCACTTCCTTGCTTTCAATTTTATGCAGGTAGGTGCTGCAGATTATATTGCTGTTGCAAAAAACCATCATACTGTCTTCATCGCTGATATTCCAGTTATGAGTATGCGAATCCGTGACAAGGTACCAGTTCTATAGGAATAGCAAATAATTGTTAGAGGAAAAGGAATAGAATTACTTATAGCTTTACATGCTGCAATGCTTTATCCTAGCGTATGTGCTGTGTTTCCTTGTTTCAGGCACGTAGGTTTATTACCCTCATCGATGAGCTATACAACCATCATTGCCGCTTATTTTGTTCAGCAGCTACTTCTATTGATGACTTATTTCAAGGAACTGAAGAGGGTACACTTTTTGATCTGGAAAGGTAAGCCTTGTATTTGTTTTCCGTGATCATTCTTGAAGGACATAGATAAAAAAAATGAAAGAAAAGAAGAGGTTTTGACATTTGAATCTAATTTAGTCTTGTCAGTTTCCATTTAGAATGTGCCGTTATTTCAAGTTTTGCCAGGAAATCCCAACACAGCCTTGTTGAATGCACAGAGTTACTGCTTAATCCTGAAAGAAAGCATTAGCTCGTCCAAAGAGCTGAGTTCAATAAATGAGTAGCATGTTTGAAACATGCACTTATAATCTTACAATTGTGATTTTTGTATGTATATCAAGCATTCATGAAAATGAATAAAAATTTTCGTTGTTGGGTATCTGATGATCTGTTCTGAAAGATCAGATCTGTGCAACTAGTTGAACATTTTAACCTTTTTGTTTCCAGTTTCCAGTTCGAAACAGAGACAGAAGGTGCAAAACTTCGCCGAAATGTTTTGGCAGAAGGAAGTGTGAGTTCAGGAGGTGCACCAGCTGGTATAACATCCATGCTATCTGGTCAAGAAGAGATGTTTGCCTTCCGCCGAGCCGTAAGTGGTCTTATGCTTGTCTCTCTCAAATTTATATCCCTATTTTTCATGCTCTCTCTCTTTTCTCCCTCCTCCCTCCTTTTTTGCGGAAGCATAAAAGAGAACAGAGAAGATACTTACTACCTTAGCAGAATTATAATGGATATAAATCCATATTTGTAGGTATCTCGCTTAATCGAAATGCAGACACCTTTATACCTTGAAGGAGTTCGATTCCTTCATCCTTACTTCCAGAGGGAGCTCCAAAATTTTGGAAATTATAGTGTAAGCAATGTGCAACACCAAGTATCCTCATAAGCAATAGGTTTATACTTGTAGTACTTGATGCCTGTTTCGACATTGTATTGTATTGTCTTGTTGCACTTCAATTCATTTATTAATTCTCTTCAAGAGAATTACTGAAATTATCTCATAAAATTAATAGCATTTCTTATGTTACCAGAGGTGACATATAGTTAAACAGAATTCCATGCAGAGGGCTCAGATTTCATCTCTTTCTGGTGTTCTTTTGAAGGGTTTGGATTAATCCGGCTAGCTAGTTTTCTTGAAATTATCGGCTTGAAAATGCTAATGTCCTGCTCTTGTTCTTCATAACACAACTTTGTTTCGAACTTGGGAGTTGGAACTGATTTAATAGTTTCTTTTTCTATTTAATCCTTAACAGTTAATAGCTTATTTATATGGGATGATGATATTCTTCATATTTATCCCAGCAATGGCTCTGCAATACGGTATCGACAACACATGATATTTCACGTTATTCGAGTAATAGTACAGAATAATAACTTTCAACTTTTTTGTGTTAATAGCTGCACGGAATCCTAAGATAGCTTAACTTCAAAATATGCACGCAATTCCTTCAGATCCTGCAAACCAAACAAGAAAAAAAGCATTTGTCATGTGTTATTTTGAATCTTAGGGACGGCAATCAAGCCTGTCCCCGATGGGTTTTGATCCGACCCAATTTTATAGGTCGTATTTTTGTTTTAAAATTTTGGGTTTCGGATCGGGTCGGATAAAATTAGGTAACAATCGAGATCGGATCGGATTCAGATATGTTTAAAATTTGATCCTATCCAATATGACATTATTAAAAAATTATTTTTTAATTAATTAATTATTTATTTATATATATTTATATAATGATATTTTAAATATTTATATTTAAAAAATAATATTTTATATTTAAAAAATAATATTTTATTAATTTCGGGTCGGGTCGGGTACGCTTTACATAGTATCGGGTCAGATTCGAATATTAAAAAAATTTGGGTCGAATTCGAGTTTAATAAAGTATAAAGCGGGTCGGGTTCGGGGCGAGCAAAACCCGTCCCGAACCCGATCCGATGCCATCCCTAATTTTGATGCTTGATGAGAGTATAATTAAGTAACAAATATGAAGAGTAATTAGTTCATTACTGTGCATATTCAACATTAACTTTGGCATCAATCTTTGAGATGGCATTGAAGGCATCGTTTGACAACTGCAATGTGGTCGGGCAAGGATCCTGCGAGCAAAGATCAACAACCTGCACAACTATGGATCTAACCTTGCATGGCCTCTTTGGGCCACTGATGCACCTTATCCTGTACTTCCGACCACACGATGCTCCATTATCCCATAACCCATCACTCACCGCAGCAAATAGCCCTCCCGGAGGGAATTGATCTTCGTCGTAGCCACCGCATTTTGTTGCTTCATCAAGTAAGACACGGATTAATTCATATAACAGTAAGGAAAAAAGGAAGCCTAGGGTACCATATATATCTATATATACTTATTGTTTTCATCTTCCTGGTTAACATCATAATCAATGTGCTTTTGGCCAACAGCAGTAAGTACTGAGTGGCATATTAAGATGAAAATTAAGGGTAGTGTTTCTATACTTACGCAAATATGGAGGATCATACGAACTGGCCGTCCCAACATCTCCGAAGACACCAATTACATGAAAAATTATGCAATACAATAGCAACGTTGGCAACATTATTGACTTCATTTTGTTATAGCTTTGGTTTCACCACATACATGTGTTTTGATTTGTTTTCTTGTCATGAAAACTTGTCCCTGGCAACCTTATTTATACTTCTCAGAAGCATGCCTGAGGATTGCAGTTGACATATTGTTGCTGATCTCTCTGGTTTGACCTTTTTTTAAATGGGTGGTTGTGGGGCTGTGGCGGATAGATTAACTTCAAATCATCAAGCCATTACTTTCACGAGTGCCAATTTTGAAAAAATTTTCTTCCTGATAATATATACGATTCTAATCATTATAACCTGTTACATTAGTGATTTTCCATTACTTGGTGCTCAGATCACGAGTATTATGCTGGTAGGACACAGCAGGTTTTGGCAGCTTATGGCTGCTAAAAGTGCTTAAATTATTCTAGAACTCCCAAGTGCTTATTTGAATAGATCAAAGATATTGGATGTTGCTTTCTTTTGAAGAGTCTCACATGCTGCCTTTGGTTTCAAAAGTGATAAACGAGAAGGTAACGCACATCTACATCCAAAAAGCAGTCTCTCCTTTGTTTATTCGACACTGCAGCCTTGTCCATTGTCTTAAAATATAAAGTAAAGCATGACTTACGATAAAGCAATAAAAAAAAAATTGTATATTGGTTTGCTTTTGTGTTGTAATCTGATGCAAGTCATGGGTCTGCTATCCAATGATACGAAAGTTTTTATTGCGCATGGGAATTTGAACATGATCGGATATGTCACTTCACTCACTTAGGCTTGCATTCTTGGAAAAAGTAATGGATCATTTCTACCGGCCCTCAACAGATAACGAGTTAGCACGTTTAAAGTTTTATGAAGATGGTCCATTCTTTGCTGATCAGATAACTATTCTGCCACTAACTCTAAAATAACCAAAGATTGCTAAGTTAATTCCTGGCTTAGGCCGCCCAATCAGTCAATTTGCATAAGTGTCATTTTCTAGCAAACTTTGGTACAGTAACCTTGAAAATATTCTTACTAGCTCGTTAATAAAAAAAAAAAATAGTAAGATTTATTGATGGTATTTTTGCACGTCTTAACTGAAACGGAATGAGGTATGATTGAGAGAAAGACAATTATGATTTGTAGCTAATGAACATAGTCAAGGGACATCGGAGTTTTTATTTCATGACTCGTTTTGATATTCAAATCAGTACAATATTAGAGGTAAGGTAAGTAACGAAGGAGGGAGAAAAAAGAGAGTGGTAAAGTTCGTGCAGCTTCAATGGAGGGAAGCTTAGGATGTATCCTAGGGTTCTCCCTCTTGTAGTTCTGGTTGCATTGTTTATATGATCTTTCAATTATCTTATGTCTGAGATAGAAAGTAGGTGATTTAATTAAAATAGTTGACAATTAATAATATGTTTGTTTGGAGCTCAAGAAGAGTTTATATGGATAGTTGCTAATTGTATTAATAATCTCAAACAAATTGAATGCGATGATTAATTCTGAAATGATTATCTTAATTGAATGTTCGTAGGATCTTAAATAAATATTTTTGACAATGAATAAGTCGTTTTTTTAAAGACAGATGATGTAGCTGTTTGAATAACTTAAAAACATAGTTATGTTAATCAAGTTTTGATCGTTAATCAATTGATTTAGGTTTAACAAAACTCATCAATGAACCAATAATTTAATAATATTAAAGTTTGATTCCAAAATTAAAAATTTTGAATTTTAATCAATTATAAATTAAAAAGAAAAATTAGTGGACTTCCAACTCGCATCTCATCAATGTGGTCATGCATATCCAGCTATTGATGGATCAAACAAGAGAAGTCAGAAATTAACTGAGAAGTAGTGCACCATCACATCTCACTTTCTAAAGAAGAGGTTTCAAATTCCAATTTTCCTTTCCTGGAATTGTAAAAAATAATAATAATAATAACCATGTTCCTCTATGTTCTTTTCATGATTTCCTTTACTTTTACTGCAACAAAAAATCAAGAATGTGCTTATCGTTGTCTTTTTTCTTTTTCCCACTATGAATTCTGAAAATTCTCAAAATTAAAAAGTATTGGCTAGTAGAATGGAGAAAATGAATGGGCTGGCTCTGATCTCCATGCTTTGGGTTATTTTAATTAGCTTTGTGCTTAAAATTGGGCTATCTGAATTGCTTTTAGGCTGATCCATCTATGGGCTTCAGATGCACCTATATTGTTTGCATTTTGTAGCACGTACTTTTGGCTAGAGCAAAAACTAATTAATTAATTAATTTTTTTATAATTGAAAGAAATATTTGAATACTGCTCTTTGATTAGGGATTATTCACCAAGCATCGTCTAGTAGGCGTGATAAGGTTCGAATCAGATTTTTCAGATATTATATAATATTATAAAATTTTAAATTTTAAATAAAATTTTATTAGTTCGATTCAGTTCAATTTATTAATTTTATTTTTTATTTTTTATTTTAATATATTATTTTAATATATTTAAGTAAATTTTGATATAAAATTATTACTTTTATTTTATAAAAATTAAAAATATATATAAAAATTAAAAATATATATAATTCAATTTGATTCGATATTTTTTTATTTTTTATTTTCTGATCTGAAATCTTATCCAAATCTAATATACATATTTAATATCCAAATTTGATCATAATATAATAAAAAAAATTAATCTAAATAGAACACTACTTTTTCAAATCGATTTTAAGTTTTCTCAATTTTTTTCTCACTCCTATTATTTAATGATTGATACAAAATTGATTAACTATTAATGTAAAAAATTAATTATCGATAATGATATGATTTGTTAATAGTATGTTGAATTTTTAATTTCAATAATTTAAGTTTAATCTTTAAAGTAAACTTGATAATTAATGTATTTATATATTGTAAAATATTAAAATTTATGTATTTATATCATTTACACGAAAATTACATGTTACAATTCATTTTTACATGTAAAAATAAAATATATATATTTTTATTATTGCCAAATCTACTTTAAAGTTCCAAATATTTTTAAAAAATTTAGTAAGATGTTATATATGTGATGGAAAGCCTACAGAGAATAGAATAATACTAATATTTTCTAGTAAGAATAATAAAACCAAGAACGAAGAAATTCCATAGGCACCGGATTCGCTTTGATCGTTAATTTAGGAAAAAAGGAGTAAATATTGAATCCCCATAAAAGTGGATTCTAATTCCTCGACATGGATAAAAAAAAAGTTGTCTCCTTTATTCTTTTACTTTTCCCACTGGCATTCAACAAATGCTCATTTTATAGGACATGACTCAAATCCGCCGCCCAATTAGGCATATATCCTTTCTGTTTAGCCATTTTTAATGAAAAGTAAGAACTAAAAAAGAGAGGAAAATGAAGATTTATAGCCCGACAATGGCTTTTTAATGTCTCGTTAATTGCCTTGGGATTCCTTTTGATTTTAACAAGTAGTTGAGAATTTCAAAGTTGCTTGAGGTATCAGATTTAAGATAAAATTTAAAGGTCAAATTTGGGAAATTAAAAAAAATGATTTAATAAAAAATTTAAATTGATTAATTAATAAAATTAAATATTAATATTAATAATATATATAAAAAATATTTCAAAAATTATTTATAATTCAAAAATTATTAATTTTTATTCCACGGTAAAATTTTTTTAATATTTTTATTAAATTTGTTTACATAAAAATATATATCAAAATTTATTTTTTTTCAAATTTTACATACTTAATTTATATAATGATATCTTTTAATTTATCGATTTTGATTTTTTATCTTAATTTTAATTAATGATATTTAATAAAATTTTTACAAACCTCATCTAAAAACTTCATCCAAATTTTTAGCTCTAATTTATGCTTCATTTGGTTAGTGGATAAAAAGTAATTTTTACAGAATGTCAGCATCATATCTTTTTTAGATTAGATTCTAAAACTTTTATGCTTCATTTGGTTGGCAGATAAAATGAAATTTGTACTGTATGTCTGCATCATATCTTTTTTAGATTAGATTCTAAAACAGTGCGATAATGTAATAAAAATCATTCTTACAGGTCTTTCAAATGAATAGAACACTGTTAAGAATAATCTTTCTTTCTTCATAAATAAATAATCAGTACATAACGGAAGGTAAAGTAACATTAATTCAGAGGGCTAAATCCAATCCAGAAAGCCAAAGATTTAGTTCTAAAATGAAGATGAGAAGAGTTGTTGAATGGCTCATAACCTTCTTCTTCGTCATTTGTTGCAATGCTCTCCTATGCTCCTCAGCGGAAGCCGCAGGTCATGATCTCAAGCCATTGATGAAGGAAAAACAACTCAGAAGTAAGTTTTTTTTTATTAGATTAAAATGTATATAATGTCAATGAATTAATGTTGATGAATATATGTGCAGATGTATTTAAGAGTCAAAGAACATCGTTCAAGGGTTTACATGAAGCACTTTACGTTGGAAAACAAAAGAAATTAGCTATTGATGATCAAAACAAGATAGCGAAGGGAACTTATACCGGTGGAGGTCATCTTCGATCTCGTTCCAAAAAGAATGGAGCAAACTCTTTAATGCTAAAATCCTCTTCTCTCCTCTCAGCACTACTGTTTAGATATGTAATAGTAGGGTTGCTCGTTACCATGTTCTTCTTTTGATAGCTTGAAGAACCATTCGACTCTTGTTTTGCATACTTGTTTCCATGGTCCTTAATTGGCTAAATCTTAGAAATTTATATATAGTTGCTTAATTATCTGATGATGTACTGTACTTTAACTTATATATTGCTTGTTAATTTGGGTGATGAGGTTTCTGTTTCAGTTCCAAGCTTTTTTGTTTCAAATCTGTGGGTCATTGTCTTTAAGACATGATGTCACGCCCCGAGATCAAGACGTAACACGATCATATTACTTTGAAGAAAATCTCAAAGTAATACGAAGCCTTCTTTCTTAAATATTTTAAAATTTTTCAATAAAATAATCTATCAAGTAAAACTTCATATCTTTAATCCAACTGATGATACATCTTTATATATCCAAATACAAATCATATAAAATACAACATTATCTCTTAAGATTTCATTGGCCAACATATTCTCCGACGACTAAGTAATCTTTTTCATTTTATCTTCTAACTTCACACAAGACTAACCAAACTTATCACTTAGTCATCTGTAAAAAAAAGTAAAAAGGGAATAAGCAAACTACAGCTCAGTAAGTATAGCTCATACATCTTACCAGATCAAGCATCGTTTTCTTACACATCAATAGATCATTCAAAATATTCATCAAATCATAATATCAAAACATTTCAAGATCATCGTTTTATCAAATATTTCATAAATTCATAAATCAATGTCAAACTAAGTCACTTCATAAATCATTGTAAAATATGCTATCATTCAAATATCATAATCAAACCAAATTATGGATCAATCATTAAAATCATCATAATCATCATTATCATTCATTTATCGTTAGCTATGGTCACTGCTATAACCCGTGACATTGATCGTATCGACAATTTTATTCTCATGATCATTGCTAACTATTATAATCCGTTAACCAGGGCTTACGCTAACTACTATTACCCGTTAGCCAGGGTCGTAGAACTAAGTTCTGGTGTCGATGATCTTACTTTTCAGGGATGTAAAAACGTAGCCATCATAAAATCATTCTTTAAACATAAATCATTTTCTCATTTCATTCATAAGCGTGATCCATCATTTACATAGCGAAAATACAAAATAATCAGATGCTTGATCCTATTTTCATATATCGAAAATAAAGAAACAAAACATTCTTTCATTTAAAAACATATATATATATATATACATAGATTCAAAAATAAGCAAAGTGTGTGAGATTCTACTTACTTCCATTCGATTCCACCACTTAGTTTTTCCCCCAAAATAATTAATGGACCTATCCAAGATCATTTCAATAGATCAGAATAAATCAACCCTTTTTGAGACCATTTATACAAAAATAACTAAGTTACAAAAATGGTTAACTTAACTAATTAATACTGGCAGCCTGACCTCTTTTCATTAAAACAGTCATATCTCAATATATCCAAATCGGAATTATGATCTCTTTAATGCGTTAGAAACTAGACTTGATAAGCTTTCTAACCATATATGGCACACCTCGTAATTCCTTGTAGATTAATTATAACAATTTTTGAAATCCACGTCATATACTGCTGCCAAACAGTCTGTATACCTTCTAATAAAAATTATATATTTATTCACAGAAACTCCAAATTCAATTCCGCTTATTTCATTGGAAAGTAGACTCAATAAGCTTTCCAAACATATATGGTTTAATCTATAAATCCTTGTACACAAATTAAAAAGAATTTCGTAATTCAACCTGATGCTGCTGTCTTACAGCCTACATATCCTTAAGTTAAAATTAGACAACTCTTCAAAGAAAACTCGGATTTGACTTTCGTTTATTTCATTAGAAACTAGATTCAACATGTTTTCCAATGATATATAATAATCACAGCAATAATCTAACCATTAATACAAAATTCTATTTTAATTCATTATTACAGATCACAACATCTCATAAAAAAATAGAATTCTCCTTCAATCTTTAAAAACTCAAATCTATACTTTTAGCCTTCAAACTTCATTCAATAATCATCAATAAATCTTAAGAACATGAAATAAACAAAGCCTAATAATTTACCCAAATAGATCATTAAGATTAATGAAAGATTTTATGATTTTTTTTTATTTTGCTCTCAAAATTTCAACTTCAAATAATAGCAATCAACTTGATATTTCTTTTTAAATAAAAAGAGGACATGTACTCACCTTTAAGGGATTAACTTGATTGTAGCATCTGATTGTGAATCTCCAACTTGATTTTTCATATTCTCTAACCCTAATAAAGAGAGGAAGAAGAACTCTATTTTCTTTCTGTTTTACGATAGTTAGGTTTTCTTTCATCTAATACTTCAACAATTTTTCTTTTACTAAATAATGTCTTAATAAACTGATGGGCTTTAGTATTAGTCTAGCCCAATTATTATTTGGGCTGGGGTATTACACATGAAATGACAAAAAATGAAAATTTATGGTTTAGGACAAAATTAAGGTTGTTAGGATGTCTGGTCTATTTGGGTTGAGAACTGACTGGATCTCAATGACAGGTCAAAACAAAGCTAATGGATCTCTAATTTGGACATGGTAATGATAATGTATCATAAGGAGGCTTTAAGCAAGAATCCTTGTACCATTCTACCTTATGGCTGGAAGGTTAGGAACTGATGAAAATGGTAGAATTCAAATAATATGCAACGGAGAGACGGATCCTTGTAGGCGATGCGCCATGGCTTGCAGACAAGCATAGAGCCTGTCCATCGGTAATCAAAGCAAGTCGGGAAAGGATGTTGACGAGGCACTCGTGGGTTAAATCGACCCAATCGGGGATAAGTTCGGACTCGGTGTCTGTTTTCACGCTCCCTTCTTTGTCCTCCATGCTAGGCCTATCGTTTCGACCTTTCGATCGGGAAGCGCCAAGTAATGTTTCCCTCTTGAGTGTGCTGATAACGAATTGGATAATACGGTAATACTCAGAGGAAAAGAGCCGGGCGAGGGAAAAAATTAAAAAATTTGAAATTAATTTAAAATCGTAAATTTTTATACAGGTACGAACAATTTTTTATTTGATTTGAATTAAATATAAATATTAAATTTATATATTTTATATTAAGATTAGAAGATAAAAAATAAAAAAATTAAATCAAATTATATATATTTTAGTTTATATATATTTTAAATTTTTATAAAATAAAATAAATAAATTTATATTAAAAAATATATATATAAATAAAAATTCAAAAATCAATAAACAAATCAAATAAAAATAATTTAATTTAATTTAATTTAAATCATATAAATTCGAATTTAAATTAAATTTTAAAATTTTATAATATTATATAATATCTAAAAAAATTGAATTAAATCTCATGCAAACTATTATCATTTCTTCTATAATAATAACTCGATATCGGGTTATGTCGGAAACGGGTGAAGTTGTAACCGTGCATTCTTGGGCTGGTACGAAGAGATTCATAGCTGTTAAAGAGATATGACGGCCCAAAGGAACCAGGGCCATTGAAACTGGATCTCTAGCCCTGTACGTTTGTGGGTTAGTGCTACGACATTGGGAAATGGGATTTTTGGAAGCAGGAGTTAGTGACCTTCGTAGAAGTTTATGGCAATATCTCACAGATTACGACCTAACAGTGGCATTGCCTTCATCTACTTTAAGCTGTCAGCATGTGGGGCAATAAGTAAGGGTGTAATCGAGTCGAATCAAGTTGGATAATAAAAAATTTGAATTCGAGTTAGATTCACAATTTAAGTTTTAATATTTGATTTGAGTTCGATCGAATTTTATTTTTCAAACTCAAGCTTGATTTATGATTGAATTCGAGTTACTCGAATTCATTCGATTAAGTTCGATTAATATGTAAAAATAAGCTCGATTCGTATATTCAATAAGAGTTTGATTATTCATGCTCGAACTCGAATTCAGATTCGGACTCGAAATATTTTATTAATTAAAATAATAAAAATATATTTAAATATAAAAGTTCGATTAAGCTCGTGAGCTACTCGAATCTTATATAAAAATACTCAAATTCGGTTCGATCGATAAGTCGAACTATTCAAGCTCGAGTTCGAGCTCGATTCGATAATAATTGAACCGAATTCAAATTTTTTTCGAATCGTACTCGAGTAACTTACTAGTACTAATATATTATTTATATTCCTAATAATAAGTAATAAGTAATAAACTTGCATCCTTGGCAACAAAAGTCCATCATGGCCGAATTAGATATTTGGATACTGTTTTCAGTGGCTAAATACAGGAAAAACAGTTTTTGGAAGGACTATATCACTGTAACATTGGGGATCGGACCCACCAGAACGCCACATCATCATTTCAAAACAAATCGGGCAGCAAGAAGAGAGAATTTGGATTAAAATTTTTTATTCTGAGGAAAGGGTGAGGTTGGTCAAATTCGGACGTTTCCATGGCAAATTTCAACACAAAGGGAGAAGGTAAGTGAGTTTCTTTATTCTGTGGCCGAAATATATGAATAATTAAAGAAATTTATTAAGTAATTAACTAGCCAATGCATGTTACATTTTAGAGTTCATTTGACAGCTATAGTTCACTCTCATGAATGCAAGATCCGACCTCGGCATTCTTGTCAATGGAAAGAAGCTGTTTCAATTCATTTTGAACATTTCTTTGACAGTTTCATTACAAAGTTTAAGCTATTTTTTTGAAGTTTGATGCAATGTCAAGTCTTAGAAGAGCAAATCCTGCCTTTGGCTTTAGGACAACTTTCTTCTGTTTTCTGGTCGAGTGTAAGCATGGCTTTCGTCTTTCTGTGTATATATTCGTGTCTTTGCCTACTATTTTCCTGTTTCTAATGAACCCTGAAAAAAATGGTTTTTGTTTTTATTTTATGTACCCTCTTCCTGACATGGTTAACTCTAGTTACAGCAATAACCACAGTGGAATATTTCCTTTTTGGAAAATCTAGATTGGTAAGCTGAATCAGAACTGCTAAATTCCAGTTGTTTGGTTGATGATAAAAACTAGTGACCTACTATCCATCAGCTATAGTATATATAACATCATTATGTAATTCAGGAAGATGTGCGCAAGTTTGTGTTCAACCTGCTGTAGCAAAAGCGCAAATGAATTCTTTTGATGATGCTCTATATGGAGCTGGAACAGATTTGCTCAAAAACGAATTGGATGCCTACAGGGAGAGGCTTTTGGGATCAGGCTCAGCCTATATGCAACGCAATATAAGTTGAAGAATTTCTAACTTCTAAGTAGATGATTCTTAGTCTTGCATTTAATTTATTGCAAGATTTTAACATGTGAAACATATTGCAGATGAACAGATACTTCTCTAATCCCCAGTATTACTTCCAAGTGAATGATCAGTATGTGATGAACAAATTGAAGTTAATTCTGTTTCCATTCCTGCACAAGGCATATATGCAGTAGTAAATACTTAGCTTCCAAAATCAATATGAAAGTGTAACCCAAATTTTCCTATTCGTCCAGGGACACTGGATAAGAGCAACAGAAACAGTAGGGGTTGAATTCTCTTACAAGCCTCCTATTCTTGATATAAATGCACCTGACCTGTACATTCCATTGATGGCATTTAGCACATATGTCGTTCTAGCAGGCTTCTTTTTAGGCATCAACGGAAAGCAAGTCCAACTTCCTTTTTAATCTTCTTATTTCATTTCATCATTTGGCAAATTTTACACAAATGCTGCCCACAAATGTTAGTTCACATTTAGGCTGTTTTGGAAGGCAAATCAGTTGGTGACTAAAACTTCCAATAAAAACTTCCTTGTTTTGCAGATTTAGTCCTGAAGCTCTAGGTGTGCGAGCTACAAATGGAGTGCTTTGCTGGTTATTCCAAGTCCTTCTACTTGAAGCGACGCTGCATACGCTTGGAGATGGAGACATACCATTCCTTGACATAGTTGCTTATGGTGGCTACACATTTGCTGCAGTTACAGTTACTCTACTTTCCAGGATTGTTTGGAGTTGCAGTTACTATGTTGTTACATTGTGGGAAAGTTTCTTCATGGCAATGTTGCTTGTGAAGATCATGAAGAGAATTTTGATTGCGGATGTGAGAAGGTCTGAAAAGCATTCAAGCAAGTGCCATTTTCTTTTACTTTTAGTTGCTGTTGCTCAATTCCCATTGCTCTTTTGGCTTGGAAATATTCTTGCGTGAAATTCCAAGTGAGTAACAAACTCGGAGCAGTTGTACGCTTTCTTTCAAGGAGTGAGTTCAAGTCCTCCTTTCAAAATATTGAAAAAAAAAATGGAGTAATTGATCGGTTCATAATATCATACCGGACGAAGCTATTAAAATAAAATAAAATAATTGAATTGAGTATTTTTAGCTTATGAAGTGATAACCTAATATCTCTATAATCTCAACTAAAAATAGATTTTTTATCACATTTAAGGACGTAAATGATATGTCAAAATTAATAAGTTATTTAAATTTGATTAAATCATTATAAAATTGAGTTTAAATTCGAATAATTTGATTTATTAAATAAACTGAGTTTAAGTATCATAATATTCGATTTAAATAGCTCGTGACTCTAATAGAATTTTTATATTTAATATTTTAATTAAAAATTATTATTTTATCTTTATATATATTTATCAATTCAAGTTTAAAGTTTAAATATAAATAATTAAATTTAAAATTAAGTATAAGAATCAAATTTTTTTATTTGATAAATGAGTTTAATTAAATGAGTTTCAATAATTCAATTTTATTTATAATCGAGTTCAAATTTGAAAATTAAAACTTAAATTGAGTTTCAAACATAAAATTTCGAATTAAGTTTAATTTCAAATTGAGTTTCAAATATTAAATCTTAAATTAAATTCAATATCAAATTTTTTACTATATCGATTTGATTTAACTCAATGATATTCTTAACCATACTTCGATTGTATTTTATTTTTCTTTCATCAATCTTTTGATCTTGTTAAGATATTAATTCAAGTATTTATTTTATATTTATTTTGTATCAAAGATGAAAATTATTATATTATAATTTATGTTGATATTTTAAATAAAAATATATATTTTTTATTTTTATTAAATTTATATATAATTTTAATTAACATTTTAAATCGTTTTCAAATTTTTTTTATCATACATGATATCTTTTTCTTTTTTGGAAACCTATCATCTTATCATCTTACGATGTTTAAAATGAATCCATCCTTTGTGCATCCCAAAACGCATCGTTCCGTTACTTTCAAAGCATCCCGACACGTGACGCACACATTAGCTCAAGAAACGCGGTTTTAACAGATCTTTTCGTTTCTTAAACTCCTCAAATCTTTTAACTGTCACGTAAAACGTTGTCGATTGGCCAAAATGAAAAGGTTAAACGTTGTCGGGACAGTTACTGTTTTATCTTTTTACAGTGGCGTGCGCCAAGGAATCTGGTCAAACCCAGATTAACTTTTTATTACACCTCCAAAAACTCCATTATTTATTTATTTATTTATTTATTTAAATAAAAAATACCTATAATCCCACATATAAGGCCCAACATAAACATTTTCTCAATTTGTTTCCTTTTTTATTCGTTTTTCGTTTTTCTAATTAAACCCCTTTTTATCTTTTTTTTTTCCCCCTTTTTTTCTTAAGATTTGTAAGGTATATAAGGAAAAGACAGGTATTTTTCCCTTTTGTCAACTATTCGATGTTTACGAGAATCTGCTTTGTTTCGAATTTATGTAATTTTTGTCATTGATTTGTTTGCCTTGAGGTTTCGCTTTAATTGTGATTCGATGATGTAGCAATCAGGGTCTAATTCGAACTTTTTTTTCGTTTTGTTTGGTAACTGAGAAAATTTTAGATTTTGGGTTGGATTTTTAATTACGGATTATGATTTTCTTTCTTTTTTTTTTTTATAATTTTCCTTCGAGATAAGAAAAAGAACCATTCATTTAAAAACCCTTTTTTTTTTTTTTTAATTTTGCTTATTTCAGTGAGTAATTGTCAAAATCCATGCTTTCTTAGTTCACTTATTGAAACATTTTCTATGTTTTTCTTATCTAATATACGGAATTTGCAGATGAATTTAAATTTTTAGTTCGAAAGATTCTTTCTTGCAAAATTATGCTGTTTGAATTGTCTGGGTATTTGAATTTTGAGTTTTATTTGATTGTGTTTCAGGAGATTTATTGAAATCTGAAGATGTTAGAGCAGTTGCTGATATTTACCAGGGGAGGGTTAATCCTCTGGACATGTAAAGAGCTTGGAAATGCTCTTAAAGGGTCACCAATTGACACCTTGATCCGGTCCTGTCTTTTGGAGGAACGCTCTGGTGCATCATCATATAACTATGATGCTCCAGGTGCTTCTTATACCCTCAAGTGGACCTTCCATAATGAGCTTGGCCTTGTATTCGTTGCTGTGTATCAGCGTATTCTCCATCTTTTATATGTGGACGATCTTCTTGCACTGCTGAGGCGTGAGTTTTCAGAGATTTATGACCCAAAAAGGACGGTCTATAATGATTTTGATGAAACTTTTAGGCAGCTTAGGAGGGAGGCAGAAGCGAGGGCTGAGGAGTTCAAGAAATCAAAGCAGATGGTTAAACCTGTCAACAACATTAAGAAGCAAGGGCAGGTGCTGAAAGCTGGTTTTAATAAAGGAAGTAAGAATGGTGACGGTGGCTTGGCTTCTGATGGCGGGGATGGTGATAAAGTGAAAGATCGGACATTGGAGAATGGACACTCCATTGGTAATCATGTTGAGATTGAAGAACCTATGGTGGTAGGTGTTGTTACTGGTAAAGAAAATAATATTAGTGCTTTTGATGTAAGTAAACTTCAGAAAAGAACTAAAGGTGTAAAGAAAACTGATGCTGTTGTTAACAGGGGTTCCAAGCTGGACCCTAAAAAAAAGGTTACGAAGAAGAATAGAGTTTGGGATGATGCACCTTCAGAGACAAAATTGGACTTTACTGATCCAGTGGATGGAAATGGAAATGAGAATATAGACGTTGTCGCAGCAGATCAAGGTGAAAGTATGATGGACATAGAAGAGATTATCAGCAGTGACAGTGAAGGTGAAGAAGATGACAATGTGCAGAAGGATAGCAAGCCTGAAGCTAAGAAAAAGGGTTGGTTTTCCTCTATGTTCCAGAGGTAATTATTGATTTAGTTCCTTCATATAGATTGTAATTCCTATTTTTGATATATTTTTTCTGTCTTCGTGATGAGTGAAATTGGAGGTCATTTTGTTTTTGAAGCCTGATTCATTTTGAAAAAATATTTCATAGATTTTGTTTTATCATCTTCAGATGTTCATCATAAAGCATGTCCTTATTACTTTTGATTTAGATGTCATAAAACCTTACAACTAGAGTTGCAAATGTTTGTTTTATTGAGTTGATCACTTCAATTTTGCCATTATGTGGCTTTATATTAAATAGCGCAAAAGATGGCATTAGTAGTTACTTTCTGAGATCTCTTCTGCTAGGCATCACCATTTAAAGAATGAGAGATTTTTAGACATCATTTGCTTGTAACATTGTTATATATTGCAGCCTCAAAGAGTTTTACAGCCTTTTTGTTTTTCCATTTTATGGTGGCTAGTGGCAAAAAGAGTTATATGCTCCTATACATGTTGCGCTTGGGCTTTGTCCAGCTTTTACCAGAAGCTTTTATCATCGCCATTGTTGATTTTACTATCCAATCACATCATTTATTCATTTTCTACTTTCTTGGTCTCAGTATTGCAGGAAAGGCAAATTTGGAGAAGGAAGACTTGGAACCAGCTTTGAAGGCTCTTAAGGATAGGCTTATGACCAAGAATGTGGTATGTTTTCTGCTAATTTGACATACTTGATTAGTACCTCTCAATGTCTATAGGGATGTTTAGATATGTGGCATTCACAGGCTGAGGAGATAGCTGAGAAGCTTTGTGAATCAATAGCTGCAAGTCTTGAAGGGAAAAAGCTGGCCTCATTCACAAGGATCTCTTCAACAGTGCAGGTCTACAAGTTTTTCATCTTTAATATTTTCTGTCTTTTTTCCTGCTTTTTGATACTATAAATTTAATGATGTACGGTAATTGTGACTGTAGGCTGCAATGGAAGAAGCTCTTGTTCGTATTTTAACTCCTAGGCGCTCTATTGACATACTGAGGGATGTGCATGCTGCCAAGGAACAGAGGAAACCATATGTTGTTGTATTTGTTGGTGTTAATGGAGTTGGGAAATCAACAAATCTAGCCAAGGTTAAGCTGATTTGACTGCTCTATATCTAGATTTGTACATAGGGACATGCCTTCTTGTCATTCTGGTTAACCTTAAATGTTACTTTGCAGGTCGCTTACTGGCTTCTGCAGCACAATGTTAGTGTTATGATGGCTGCCTGTGATACATTTCGGTCTGGAGCTGTTGAGCAGTTGCGAACTCATGCGCGTAGACTCCAGGTACTACATTAACTATAAATGTTATAATGAGTATCATTGGTATAGATACTCTTTTGTGTCTGACTTGTTACTTGATACCCTTGTCAGATTCCTATATTTGAGAAAGGGTATGAGAAAGATCCTGCAATTGTAGCAAAGGAAGCAATTCAGGAGGCTACTCGTAATGGTTCAGATGTTGTTCTTGTTGATACAGCTGGTCGGATGCAGGTATCTTCTAATCAGTTAATTTATTTGTTTGTAGGCTTTATACTTTGGGTACTGCTTGGTGAGTGCTTTATTCATACTTTTCTTACTTTCAGAAGCCTGAAATGATTCTGATTTTGGGTCATGTTAGTGGTATAACTTTTGTAAGAAAACAGTTGCAATCAATACATTATTTATTAGGAAATTGAACAGAACAAGCTACAGGATGTATGGATAACTGATTCAAAACATGTTGGCTTGGGACCTAATTGGTTTTGAATGTCAACTACAAGAACCAGAGAGGGAACCGGTCATATTGGTTTTGCTAGAGGCTGTGAGACGAGCAATTGAGCTATTTTTCTTTGAAAGATATTAAATGCAATATAGTTATAATGCTTTTCATTTTTTTTTTGGTTATCACTGTTATGAAATTAATATCTATGCTACGTTTATCAGGATAATGAGCCGTTAATGAGAGCCCTTTCGAAGCTTATATACCTCAACAATCCAGATCTTGTCTTATTTGTTGGAGAGGCACTAGTTGGGAATGATGCTGTTGATCAGTTATCAAAATTCAATCAGGTTTTGCTTCGATATTTAAGCATTATATTGCATTCAAATCTATTTGCTGTGCATATATATCAACTTAAATCTCTGTTACAAAGCTCTGCCGTATTATTCTTGCAGAAATTGGCTGACCTCTCTACTTCTCCTACTCCCAGATTGATAGATGGGATTCTGCTCACCAAATTCGACACTATTGATGATAAGGTAAAATGAGTTTGAATGTGACAAGGTTTTCATATTTTATTTAGTTTGACAAATCACACTGCCATTTATCTTTCTTTTGGTCTACAACTGAAATTGATGTAGGTTGGGGCAGCTTTGTCGATGGTCTACGTATCAGGGGCACCGGTCACGTTTGTTGGCTGTGGCCAGTCATATACCGACCTGAAGAAACTTAACGTCAAATCAATAGTGAAGACACTGCTGAAATGAGTGAATGCTTGATGTAAACACCCACAACAGCATTTGCAATGCTCAACTTATATATGGTTGTTTCTTCTGCTGTGACTCTGTGTTAATTTTATGGAGGTGCATCAGCCCCTTGCGGCTGTACATTTGTTCATCTTAGATCTATAACTATTTCTGAGTTTGGCATCTTATCTTCTCATGTCTGTGCTGAAGATTAATATTTTAGTTAGGAGTGTGTGAATCTCCTGTCCTCAACGCCTCCATCACTGATGAGGATGGTTCGGATTAAATTAAATTTGATTTGATATTTTTAAATATTATATAATATTATAAATTTAAAAAATTTAATCCGAATTTAAATCGAACTTGAACTTTCATATAATTCGGATTAAATCGATTTTTTTCAATTTAATTTGATTCAATTTAATGATTTTTAAATTTTTTTTATTTTTATATATTATTTTAATATATAATTTTAATATATTTAAATAGATTTTGATATAAATTTGTTATTTTTATTTTATAAAAATTAAAAATATATATAAAAATTAAAAAAATTCGATTAGATTTAATTTTTCTTTTGTTTTTTATTTTTCGATTTAAAATTTAATTTAAATTTAATATATATTTTTAATATTTAAATTTAATTCAAATAAAAAAATAATCCAAATTTAATTGAATATTATAATTTTAAACTAATTTTAAATTTTTTAAAATTTTTTTCTCATCCAAGATATTGAAACCAGCCATTTAAGCGGCAAAGTATAAATAATTACTATGCTTCCACTATAATCAGAAGAGAATACTCCAATGTAAGAATGCAAAATTTCCCCCTATAATCATTCGAATGAATGATTCCTCAAGCTGTAGCAATTAGTTTAATATATTTCTCGTTTTTCACAACAGAGCCAGTACCATCAATCCCCCCAACATAACCACCAAGCCACTTTTCAAGATCAAGGTGGTGCTCGTTAGAGCCACTGCAGGGCCGTCAACTTCCACGGAAAAAGGTGCTGGTGAGATTCCCATCAACTGGCTTCTAGCTGACATCACCACAACGATCAGTTTTTGGCCCTTTTGGCAGTGTCCCTCAGCTCCACTGGTACATAGTATGCCCCTAACTTCTCAAGCTTCACCTCAGTGTTGCAATCCTCTGGAGACAGAGTCCTTGCTCAATTCAGACTTGTGATTATCGTAAGATTAAATAAAGCCGTTGAATCGAAATCATGAAGAAGAAAGAGGTTACAAACATGTAGAAGGAAAAAATTCCTTGAAGAAACACAGCCAAGCCGAAGTCAAGGAAGTGGGAGGGGAGCCCAGTAGGACACAAGGTCCAACCCCATAGTATAGATTACTACTGGTGTGGGGCTGTGGGCTGCGTTAGGTTCGGACCTCGAACAAATTTCAGACATGATAGGTGGGAACCCATGAAAAACAAGACAGGTAAGGATAACGGACAAGAAAACAGCCATCGAAGAGGACAAAGGAAAGCTCCCAGTTCCAAATTCTAACAAAGCTTAAGAAAGCAGCCACCGAAGAAGACAAAGGAAAGCTCCCAGTTCCAATTCTGATGAAGCTTCTTCCACATTGCCAAACGCTTCAGCCAAAAAACCAGAAAGGCAAAGGAATAAAATAAAAGAACTAGGCATAGCAATAGGCCTTGAAATTGGCAAATCTATCGCCATTCTCCACTGCCCCCCCCCCCCCCCCCTCCACAACACTTTCCTTTCCCTTTACAAAATGTATGAAATGAAAATCTAAACAAACTCAAAACCCCCACAATCTTTCAGTTCTTTTTGAACCACTCATCATGGAGCTCCCTTCACTCTCTTTCTTTTCTCCTCTCCCTCTCTGTAAGACACGTACTCTATACTTTCTCATATACGTATTTTCGTATTTTTTTCTTTGTATGTATTGATTCTGCTTTTTTTTTTTTCTTTTTCCAGGTTACCTAATGCCAGTGCCTAGGAGTTCTACAACGTTTCCTTGTTTGCCGGTAACTGTATTTGTTTCTGTCTATCTGTTTGGTTCCATAGAAAATAGAGGGAAAGTTAGTTGTATCGGGTAAAATCGAGAGTGAACTTCACGGTTTCTAAATAGAGAGACAGCGTTTCAAGTTGATTCAATGATTGGACGAAGTTTTAGAAATTTGAGACTTTTTTCCTTTATATGACCAAGTAATTTGCTTTATGACAGTGTTCTTAATATATCTTTTAATGCAGTTTAAAGGAGCTTATTTTGGCTACTCTGTGTGTAAAAAAGCAACTTTGAGAAATGCATATAATTGTAAGTTAATTTTTACTAGGGCTATGTTCTTTATGTTTGGTTAATGCTACAAGATGTGGATGCACTGTAAAATTTCTGCAAAGTGATTATTTGTTCGTTTAGGATTCTTTTAGAATAAATCAATGGATTCCTTTTTTCGGGCTTAAATTGTTCTTGTAATTTACTATAAATGGTTATTTGATGGTGGATACCAAGTGAAAGGTTTGGTATTTCATATATGTATAGATAAGTAACTTTTCTTTATGGAGGTTTACATATTAGCTTCTCTCCTTTATTTTGGCAGCTGCTCAAATGTGTATTTCTAGGAAGCATGATGGTGAATCTCGGTGTTATTTTAATCCAAATGGTGGTTTAAATGGATCATATTACAATAATAAATTACATAACCGTAACAAATTGTCCAGATACATAGTTGTGAGATCTGAACTTGCTGGGACTGGGAATCCTGATGCTGCTGATTCTTTCTCAGGTTTTCCTCAAAGTATTCAGTCATTCACCGATATTGGTTTTCATTTTTAACTCTTGCACCCTCACAATTTTATATTTCTTCAAATTTCAAAATGCAGAAATTAAACTGCGTTCAAAAGGTAAAGGAGTATGCTTTTATGCTGTCACAGCTATTACAGCCATTTTACTGATTGGATTTATGATGGCGGCACATCCCTTTGTGCTCTTGTTTGATCCCCACAGAAGAAAAGCTCAGCATTTTATTGCCAAACTTTGGGCTACAGCAACTATTGCTCCATTCTTTAAAATTGAGTTCGAAGGATTGCAGAATCTGCCTTCACAGGATGTTCCTGCCGTATATGTTTCCAACCACCAGAGTTTTTTAGACACATATACACTTCTAACTCTTGGAAGAAGCTTCAAGTTCATCAGCAAGACTGGGATATTTCTTTATCCCGTTATTGGTTGGGCCATGTCTATGATAGGCATAATTCCATTAAAGCGCAATGACAGCAGAAGCCACTTGGTATTCCTTTTTCATTGTTTTGTGTTTATCATGTCTATGTTAGATGGCACTATAGGATTAATCTGTTGTAATGATATCTTTTAGCTAGGCAGTCTTTGTATTATTTTTTCTGTAGTGTGGATTTGAAATTCTGTTACTGTTGTGCATGTAGGAGTGTCTTAAGAGATGTATGGATCTTATCAGGAATGGTGCCCCCGTCCTTATCTTTCCAGAAGGCACACTGAGTAAGGATGGGAAATTAGGTGATTTCAAGGTGAGATCATGTTGGAGTTCTTATTATTTGTTTGGGTGGATTACATGCAGTTATTAAGTAAACGATCAATAGAAACTTATACCATATGTCTTGTTTGGTGATTATGAACCATTGATGAAAGAAAGATAATTGCCTCTGCCATCTTCTTTGCACCTAGTGGGATCATGTGCATTATTTTAGATTGATAAATAATGCCACTGTCCAATATTCTAGTCATTAAATCAATCACAAAATCAGTGATATGGCTTTTAAAAGTATGGTGGAGTAATTGCAAGTCCTGATTTAATAATTGTCAAATGTTAGTCTTTATCTCTCTCTCTTTCTCTCTCGTATTAATCATAAGAAGCGATTATAGAAATTCTGGAAGATTTTAAAATGCCACTAGTTATTCACAAGCTCATTGTTTTATCTTGATTTTTATGTGCAGAAAGGTGCATTCAGTGTTGCAGCCAAAACTGAAGTGCCTGTCATTCCCATTACCTTAATTGGCACAGGCAAAATCATGCCTGCAGGAATGGAGGGTATCATAAATTCAGGATCTGTGAAAGTTGTTATTCATAAGCCATTTGAAGGAAGTGATCCAGAAATATTACGCCATGTAGCTAGAAACACGATTTTAGATACACTTAAGCGTCAAGGCTGAGAAATTGTCTTGTATGTATGACCTCTGGTTGATTTTATGGCTCAAACTTAATCCTTTTATTTCTGATTTAAGGAACATGAATGAAAGGTACAAAAAGTTTCCCTTTCCCTTATCGAAACAATGCATGTGTTTTTTATTTAATTTTTAGCAAAAGAGATGTGATTGTGCAGTCTTTTTCTCCCATCTTTCTGATTTTAGACTTCTATTTATGTTCCTCTTTGGAAAAAGCGAATTCTAAACCATTGTTTTTGAAATTTGGATCAAGGTTTCATTGGTAGAAGTTAGTGACGAGATTGATAACATATTTTTGACATCAGGATGTTGGTTTTTACTCCAAGTATAATTAGTTCTATGCTGAACCCTTTTTCTGCATGTTATTGTAATTCTGAAGTAGCATCATCTAGTCATAAGTGATCAGCTGCTGGTTTTAATCACTTTCATTTTGCATCTAACAGGCTCCGAGGTTGTATCTGGGACCTTGGGATCTCATCTTTTCTGGTGGATGATCCCTGCAATCCGGGCTGTAACAATTTAACAAGTCGGCCAAGCTACCGCCCAAGTTGGCTTCAAATTTTCTTTTCATATCATATCTTGCATTTGTGGCCATTCCTTAGTAGGAGTCCAGCACAAATTTTTGCTTTTCCGGATAAAACTTGGTTGTGTAACATTTTTTCAGACAATACTTGCAAATTTGGGGCTATAAATTAAAAGATAAATACTCTGAAGAGATCATTTTCATGTCTCTTTCTTTCTTTCTTTCTCTCTTTCTCTCTCTCTTTATATATGTAATAAAATATAAATGTTGATATAAACAAAGTAGAAAGATGAATCAAAATCCGGTGTAGATATCAACGAGGTCAAAGGGATTAAGCCAACTAAGTAAGGAGCGGGCAGAGCCTTGCAGGGCTCCCACGTCGGCCTCCAATCGCCTTGACCTCTTCTTCTTTCAGAACTTCAGCTTAAGCCCCTGGTCCAGGGTTTGAAAAACACGTCATCTTCTAGCAGCCACCATAGCATTATATATAGATTTAATGAAAATAGTATAAAAAACAACGTTTGTCTTAATTATTTTAGCATTTGACCCTTTCTTTTTTTCAATACAGAGAATAACATAATAAATAAAGAAAAAGTAAACGCACCGTTTAGATTCGGGACGTCAAAAGAGACATTCATATAATACTGAAAACTGAGGGCTATTTTAGTCATTTAATTAAAAACGTTTATCTTCAATTATTTTGACACGAGGGGACTATTTGCAACCCATTATTTTCACTTTGCATCTCAATTTTTTTAATGTTTTAAATAAAATTATTTAATTATTTTTTTATAAAATTTTAAAATCCTTCATTTTCATAAAGTTATAAAATTTTTCAAAAATAATTTTTTTGAAAAGTTATAAATTTTTTCAGAAATAGATTTTCAAAAAATCTTATCAGAGGTGAGATAATGAAATTAATATATTTTTGAAAAATTATAAGATTTTTCAAAATTTTATTTTTGAAAATTATAAAATTTTAAAAAATTATAAAAACTACTTAACAATTTTATTTTAATTTTTTTTAAAAAAAACTAAGGTATAAAAAAAATTGAATGCATTTAGTCTTGCTATTTTTGACATTTGGCCTTTCTTTTTTTTTTTTTTTTGCACAATGGAGAGAATAACATAATAAGAAAAAAAAAGGTAAACGCACCGCTTCGGTTCGGGGACGTCAAAAGCAACGACCGCCATATAAAGCTGAAAACTGAGGGCTATTCTAGTCATTTCAAAAAATTTGACCCACTTTCTTTTCTCGCCTTTTTCTGTAAACGATATTTTCATCTTCGTCTTTCTTCTTCTTCTCGTTTTCTCCTTCTTCTTCAGTCGCGCCTAATTGTAAATCTATTTTTGTTTTCGATTTATCTATAATTTTTTAATCATTATTGAAGTAAAATTTAAGGTTTTCTCTGTAAGTCTCTTCGCTCTCTTCTCAATTTATTTTTCTTAATATAAGTTCATGATAATATGTATATAATTTATTTCACTTTTTTTTTTAATTTTTTATTTTACATTCTTAGTTTTTTGTTCTGGGTTGAAAGTGTTCTGATCTTTCGGTTTGATGTAGAAATTATGCATTTTTTCAGTTCGATTTCGATGAATTGGAGTTTCAACTAAGAATTTCCAATCTACAAGTCCACTTTGCTTTCTAAGTAGTCCTTTGGTTGCGTTTTAGTGAATGTTTCATTCGATCAAGCGGGGTCAACTATAGGGAGTGAATTTGATTCTTCAAAAGATTGGAAATGTCGACAATACTTGAAAAGAAGAGCGAATCAATGAATCAAGTTTTGCAACCTTTTTTTTTGGGGGGGGGGGGGATCCAGTAATATAGCTAGAGAATTTAATCAATTTCTTGCAATTTAACGTAAAAAAGTTAGAATATTTAGGAAAGTGGAAATTTTTATTGAAATTATGGTTGATTCTTTAGTAGTTATGACGAGATGATATCTGCGGCTATTTGGTAACTGTTGAAGAGGTTTGTATTATTTAAAATTAGGGTTGGCTTCTAAAGAGTGAGGGCCGACTTGTTCATTAGTTCTATAGGTGTATAACATTATGCTTTGCTTGATGCTTTATTGATGAAACTGCAAAATTCTAACTGCATAAGTTTAGGATCTTCAGGAGCATGCTTTGAGTCAAGTGCGAATTTAATTCACTAAATTATTTAAGTGGTGAACTGAACTCCTCTTGAAAGGATTGAATGATGTGAATTTATTTCATCAAAGGTGGTGTTGAAATCTTTTAAAACAACCGTAGACACAAATTTTATGCGATCTTAGTACTTCTTGACATTGTAAATCGGATTGGCTTAATGAGAAATAGGTCTTTTTGTTTCCTCCTTTATTCCATGCACACATTTTAAAACCTTTTGTAATGGCCTTGCAATCATCTGGCGTTGTAACTGCTTAACTGCTGGATCTTGACTGATATGATAGCCTAAGCAACTGTGCTAATTGTTTAGCACTTGATTGAATTATTTTTGTTGGATTGCAGGATTTATTTATGTGTTTGGTTGTAAACAATGTTTGATTGCGGTTATAAAGCACAGTACATGAGTGGTCAGAGGGAGAAATTTGTCAGGTCTGAAATTATTATTCTAAATATTCTTTTCTGCAGTTCTCTCTCTCTCTCTCTCTCAGTTAAGGCTGATAGCTTACTGCGGCTGGATAAATTTTTATAGGTGAAGGCATATAATCTTCAATTCTTTCTTTCTACTTTCTCCAGGTTGGATGACTTGGACTCTAGATTATCGACATCCTCTGATACAGGATTGAAAAAATGTGGGTTTAACATTGAGGGATTAGGTCATTCTGGCCATGCAAACAATACAACACCTAGATCTTTCAAGAGAGGGATCAGAAAGGGATCTGAAGGACTTAAGTCAATTGGTCGGTCACTTGGATTTGGGGTTTCTCGAGCAGTATTTCCAGAGGACCTTAAAGCATCAGGAAAGAAGATTTTTGACCCTCAGGATAAATTCCTCTTGCTATGCAATAAAGTATTTTTTGTATCATGTATTCTGGCAGTATCAGCGGACCCTCTATTTTTTTATCTTCCAGTTATTAACGATTCGGAAAATTGTCTCACCATTGATAAAAAATTAGCAGTCACGGTAACAACTCTGCGGACAATTATAGATGTTTTCTATCTTGTACGCATGGCTCTCCGGTTCCGTACAGCTTACGTTGCTCCATCATCTCGGGTTTTTGGACGAGGTGAACTTGTGATAGATCCCGCACAAATAGCCAAGCGATACTTGCAGCGATATTTCATCATTGATTTTCTTGCTGTACTTCCGTTACCACAGGTCTTAAAAGTTGTTTCGCTGAGTATCAATAGCTCAAGGCTGCACATTTATTTTTCCTTGTTCTGATGCATCTAGCACTTTCTCTTTCTTGTGTTATACTTTTCTTTATTGATTTTTTCTTCTCATATATCCATGTTTTGTATGCCACAACAATAATTCCTTATGATTTCTGTGGGAGCTAAATACATCTGATATTGTATTATGTTCATTCTATCTTCTTGTTGTGCCCAGTTCTTGTGTGCTTTATGTGTATTAACTTTCTTTCTATACATGCTTCTGCTTTCTCTCACGTTGACACACTTTTTACTGCATGTATTCTATCATTTAAAGTGTGAAACACATGAGCACTTGATGGTATATTTTGCATAGAATACATGTGCTCTGTGATAATATTTTTTTCATTACATTTTTTACCTTCTACCCATCAGTATTAGTAGATCTATGGCCTACAACCTTGTTTGCATTGAAAAATCCTGGCTTGCTGAAGGAACTAAGTGATGGTGATAATTCACATCATCTTTTGAAGAAAGGCCTTGTAAACATGCAGACCAAGGCCAATTTAAATATTCTAAATTCCTAATACAGAATTGATGTATCCTCCATAAGGTTATTTTTAGTGAAAATCTGGCAGAAAATTCTTGTCCTTTAGCTGCTTAATATGTTAATTATGAATTTTGAAGGTAGATTATGCATGCATTATTATATTAGGGAGGGGTGGTTACCCTTGCTGAAGGAATAATGTCAATGAGCTGTCACCGTTGCATGGCATCCTAGTTGCATTTTGGCTGGTTGAAAGCATCTATATCTTTCTCATTATATTTGTTCTTTAATGCAGATTGTTGTTTGGAGATTTCTTCATAGTTCAAATGGTTCAGATGTACTGCAAACAAAACAGGCCTTGTTTTTTATTGTCTTGCTTCAATACGTCCCTAGATTTCTTAGAGTTATACCCTTAACATCAGAAATGAAAAGGACCGCAGGTGTCTTTGTTGAAACCGCTTGGGCTGGAGCTGCATATTATTTGCTATTATATATGCTTTGTAGTCATGTAAGTGCATATTAAATTTATGTCTTTATTTCACTAGTGAAAGTATTGTTAATTGTTCTCAACCCTGTTTATTTTGAAGCTATCTGAACCTGTCTTTCTTGCTAATTTTGATTTCTGGGGCATGATTTTCACCTTCTAACCTGTTCTTCTGCAAATAAGGTTATTTGTATAATTATGTTTTGATCTGTCTTTTTGTTGGATGAATGATTCAGATAGTAGGGGCATTCTGGTACTTGCTAGCTGTAGAACGAAATGATACATGCTGGCAGAAGGCTTGTAAGGATACTGGTAGTGATAAATGCAATAAAAATTTCTTATACTGTGGAAATCAGCAAATAGAAGGCTATGCAATATGGGATGGCATCAGAGACTCGGTTCTTGGTGATAATTGTCCAACTGATGGCAGTAAATTTGACTTTGGAATCTTCACAAATGCTTTGTCATCTGGCATTGTTTCATCAACAAAGTTTGTTTCCAAATACTGCTATTGTTTATGGTGGGGTCTACAGAATTTGAGGTGGGAAAACTAAAGAAAAATAGCACACTGGGTTCAGTTATATGATATTTTGGAGTGTATATTGGATTATACTATAACAGATAATCGCTTTCATATGAAACATTGATAATTATTTATTTATCATGATTGCAGGTGACAAAGTTTATTCGTAGTTTTGCATTGAATAATCTTTCCAAAACTATTTTCATGAAAGAAGAATTTGCAAGACTCTACTTCTGTGGAAAGTTTTCATGTCTTCTTGGGCAATGTATATGAAATAGATGCCTTCTAGGTTATGTTTTCTGTTTACTGTTATCTATGATCTATTAACAGGGACTTGGGTGTTAAATGCAGCATCTATTAGACATCTATATTGTGACCAAAAGACTCCGTTTAACTCCTAATGATCGAACGCTAAGAACTCAAAGCCACATGTACCCACTTGTCACTCATGGATCATGGGTTCTGATTTCCATTTCAGAGCATTTCTCTTATATCTATGCCATCTTTGTGATGGTTAGACATCTATGTATCTACACATGTATAAATATATTCTTGTGCTGAACTTGCATGCTTATTCAATTTTCTAAATGAATCA